GGGTCTTCTCCCTTGGTGGTATTTTCCTAACATGTGGTTTGAGTCCAAGGTTGTCTTCAGTTCACCTTTCAGGTGTATCATTTACTCTAAGCAGCTATTAACAGATACAGAATATAAAAGATGCTGATCAAAATCTAAAGCTTGCCACAGTTTTGTCAGTGCAGTGATTAAAACAATAAACTGCAAAGATTCTAATCAGAATCATCAAAGTACTGAAAACATCAGTTTTCTGTTTGGTGAATGTTTTTATAATAGTGTGAAACTGATTAAAAACCTGAAGGACTGAAGTGATTTGGATCTCTAGAGGGTTTTGAGTCCTCTCCCTTGGTGGTATTGGCCTTTCCTGTCTTATATGCATGAGGTCTGATTCCTCGGTTGTCTTCAGTTCACCTTGATCAAACTCCTCCGCCCCTCTTCTCTCTTTGTTTTCTCCTTGAAACTCCCCCGGCCTCCATCTGAACTGATCAAGACGTTCACCTGCTAATTCAGTGTGCTTAGTCTCTAAGTGGCTGGTAAACTCTGCAGGTCTCGAGCCACTGTGAGCAAACATGGCTCCACGAACCTCGTGCTGCTTCTGTGATGAGTCTCCTCAGGCAGTAAAGCCGAGCTCAGCAGACACATTTTTTGTGGTTTAGCCACAGGTTGCTGTGCTTTTAGGATAAAAAAAAAACTTCTCCGTCAAGCATCTTATTCCCTCTGTGAGCTGTGTGTGTGTCAACTGCTGCTGTGATTACTGACTGTGTTGGTGGACAAGCCAAACTGCAATAACTAACTTTTAGCTGTTTACTTCTTTCCAGGGACCAAGCAGTTGAAAGATAAATGAGCATGAGATTACTTTTTCGAAAGATTTATTTCACCCACAAATATAATTATACATAGAAGAGTAGGTCAATAAATAGTAGAAAAAGAAAGTGGAGAATTTAAAAGAAAGAGGTGAAAGAAACCTACTCAAAAATAAAACGAGACATTAACACAACTGACCTCACCAACGACACAAAGGGGAAACATATGAGCTGCCTGATCCCCCCCCCCCCCCCCCCCCNACAGCTGACCTCACACATATGATCAGACCATTTGGAAATGATAGGGGGGAAACAAAATAGACAATATCACGTCATTCAAATAAACTCCATCCCCCCATGCTGATGCAGCACTTGGTCTTGTCCATTTCCTGGGCCTCTTTATTTAATCAGGCTCCACCCTCTTTTAGCCAAACCAGGAAGACAGACTGATCAAACACATGTCGACTCAAAGACAAAGAGAACTGAAATAATTCAACCAGAATGGAAAAATCTGTGTAAATGTGATTTGTGCGTCTCAGTAGGAACACAAAGTAGTGTCGAAAAATTTATAAACAAGATTTTAACCAAAAATGACTAGTTTTGTGTTTGTGATACTGAGGTAAGTTAATTTCACCATCTATTTCAATTGTGTGGCTATAGACGCGGACACATCACATTGTAGAATATCTAAAAAGGATGAAACCCACGATGCTTGATAACTCAGTTTCCGTGTCTCCCTGTGTCTCTCCAGGACATTCTGCTCCTCTGCTGGGCGTACAAGCAGGAAGAGCGGCCCAGCTTCTCCAAGCTGGTAGATTTACTGGAAAAGTTGCCAAAACGGAACCGCCGCCTCTCCCACCCAGGGCACTTCTGGAAGTCAGCTGAGTATGTTAAATGAGTTATAGGGACACAATGAAATAAAATTTAAAAAAAAACAACAAAGCAAACAATCAGCAACTTTTAAAAGTCAGCCGCCATAACTCTACATAAATAGCCCACCTTAAAGAATGCACTGAATCCAAAAGCCAGCCCAGTGATGAAAACTGCCCGTGCTGTGTGTATTTTCATGGAATGTTGGCATGTGTGTGTACAGAGAAGTTGACTGTCTGGTCTCTCCAAGCAGTCGGGACTCATATTTTCTTTGGTTTGATTTAAACCATTCTGGATTTCTTTCCTTTATCGTTTCTGTCTTTTAACCAGTGACCTGTTCCCTTCATAATATTTGATTCATTTCCTGGATGTATCTCACCTGTAACTTTCTAACTTGTTCACATCATCTCAGACTTATTCAGACACGTTTGAGAACAAATGTGGATTCCTGTTTCCCCCCCCCACCCCCTCATGTCTCTTTGTTTTTGAATGACTGTAACTGTTGCACATCACATTGTATATTTCCATAACACTGTTCTGCCATTTCTTATGTGTGTCACCTGTGTAGACCATTCTGTCCGTGTTACCTCACGGTCTCATGTGTGGATGTCTGTCCAGGTTCCATGTTTGTCTCAGAAGATTTATTTGACTTACTAACAATGTCCTCCTTATTTACACTGAACCATTTGAATGTGAAGAAGCCAGCGTCCCTGTTGTTGCAGGGATGTGTTGGCGCGATTCTTTGATGGGAGACTGTTCTCTGATCAGCTTTGAATATTGCCTGTGAACATAAGCGAGATGTTTGAACAATATCAAGCCTTTGGTGGGGGGGGGGGAGCCGCTGGTCAGACCAGGACTCCCTCACTTGACGGCGTTCTGTCAAATCGCTGACACTTAAAATGTATCTCGTCAACAGAACTAATTACCCTCCAGAAATGCTATCACTGAGCCCCTCCCATCTTCCCAGAAATACATGTATATTATTTTCTTTAAATAGCTATTGATGGATACAGAATATAATAGATAAAAATCAGTGCAGTATATCAATATGAACTGTGTAGACTCTAATCAGTACTGATATTGATGTTAGTTTTCTGAGTAGTATTTGATTTAATAGTTTGAGATGGATTAAAGATCTGGATCTGAGGGGTGAAATGATTTAGAGCTGTGCAGGTTTTTAAAATCCTCGTTCAGTGAAGATGTGACGCGTCAAGGGAGAGAGAGCACGTGACCTTTAAAAAGACAAACGAAAACTCTTTGAGAAGTCAAAGTAAACTTCTGGGTTTGTTTTTGGCTTCAAAAGTTAAAATGTTTCCGGTGTAACTTTGAAGCAGTGTTGTAGTCACTTTAAATTAAAACAAAGCCTCATTTGGAAACACGTTCATTAGTTAAGAACATTTGTTAAGGACTGAGGAATTGTCTGAAGATTAACTCCTCCAAATGATTGCTAGCTATCAAAATTAAATTTCCAATCCACGATTATATACTTAATTTATTAATTGAGAACCCAGCTCTGTAAAGGTGTGATCATACTGACTGGAAAGTGAATTTTAAAGGCAGACCTTTCGAATCGAACTGAAGAAACAAGGGTGGGGATAATTAACGCAGGACTGCACAAGGTTTCAAGAGACGGTTATAAGATCGTGCAAAGGCACAATGACTTCTACCACAACGGTTCTTTCTGTATGTAAAGATGGAACATCATTTTCCCTTCCTCTCATTGCATGCACAGGGGATAAAATATCGTGGGCATGGTTGCAGCCATCTTGCACTTTTGACCTCATTTGAAGGTTTACGAGTTACACGTTCCCCGTAATAGTCTCAGCTGTCAATCATGATGTTTCACCCTGATTTCATAGCATCAAATAAGTAACTAAAACCAAACTTTCTGGAAAATGAGCACTTGAATATGTCAGTTTGTCAGAAACTGCCTAAAAACGACAGAACCATCTTCGGCGAAAAATTATTCAAAGTGTAATTTGACTTGTTTTGGGCACTTGTCCCATCAACTAACCTGGAGGATGCAGGGTTAATGAGCTATACTATGGTCTCGCCATTGACGAGGCTGCTCTTGACTGCAACACTGCTAAAAAGGGCATTTCTTTATTTAACGTTTTCATTCGTGCAAACCTCAATATTAAAATGACTTCTTGAATTATAAAGTAAAAATAAACAAGTACGTAACTTAAATCTGGCTGAACTCTCCCTTTAACATATCAGAAAAGACATATCAGGATGACCACCCCAGGCCATTTTTCTACTTCACACTGTATATCATAATATATTTTAAATGTGCATTTTAGAGATATAACAAAATCCGAGTCATATCATCATGAATTCGAAGTCGTGGCGTCATTTGAGCTGTATACTGCTTTTGATTCTCTCAAGCCACGTCAAATACATGGAGACAATCCAGTCATGTTAAATAGCCATTCCCACGTCATTATTTACACATCTGCCAGTGTTGGAAAATGCATACAAACAATCTGCTGCTGTTTTTTGGAGTCTGTCTGTCTATTTTGGAATTGCTGGGATTCAAATATTGTAAGTGGATCATTTATATTTGTACTGTTTACAACTTTCAAGTGCATGAGATGGACTATCAAAGATTGATTATTGTTATGAAAAAAATACTCCTTCAACACTAAAGTATATGACCATTTTTCTGATGAACTGTTGTCCATTGAGCAGTTTGATCTCAACACCTAAAGAGGTTTAACGTCAGGCTTTGCGAAACTTTTCAACATCTTTCTTTGGAATTGTTTCAGTATATTTATAGACTATATAAATGATTAGACTAGCATTTAAAGAAATAAAAAAAAGACCTGTGCACATGCTAGAGATTACACCCTGACTGGACAACAATCAAAGATCCAACATTAGTGCCAAGTGTATATAACAGATTGTAGACTATGTTTTATCGTCAATTGCCGTAAAAACCAATATTCCTTGTGAAATCTTTTGACTTCTTTCTTTTGAATGTACAAATTGTGTTGTGTTTTTTGGTTGTTTTTTGTTTTTTTGGTTCATTTAAATTTCTTTCCCTCCATTTTTCTTCTATATTGCATTAGCATCAATGCTGTGTCGTTTTTTTCCCTCTTGATTTTCGTCCTTGTATTGTAGATTGATAGCCACAAGACGCTTGTATTTAATGATGCCTTATGGTCCATGGCTTAGTGATGAGTAGATTTTAATTACAAGCTCTTTTATTTGCACTCATCATTTAAAAAGTGTATGACAATAAAAAGATGTTTTCATTTTGGACGTTTTCTGTTTCCTTTATGTCATCTTTTATCTTAGTCAACCCTTCTCCATATTTTCCTTTGGTTGGAATTTTTAACACATCTTCCTGTGGTGGAGTCAGTGCTGTCTACTTTAATAATTCACAAATAGCTTTAGCCTTTAATTAGTTTAAACTCAACAAACAGACGCTGTGTTTTTATGGCAGAAAAAAATTACAGAACCTTGACGTTTTTAAATTTAAAGTTAAGTTGTTAAGTTATCACGTTAAAAACATCGTCCCTCTGACAGTATCAAATGTTTATTATGGTATATACTGTATTTGGGACAGTGTTTTTCTTCATGACCCAAAACTCAGTTCATTTTAAATCACAAACATTTCTGATAAAATACATACATACAATTATATTCATATGACATTTACCACTGTTGCTTATACAGCAAGCAAGTAACATGCAGGCAATCCGCAGCTGAAACTGTTGCTATAAAAAAATGTTTCAACAGAGGAATCTTACCAGTTGCATACAATATAAGAACCGGAACATAAACTGGATTGTCATCCAACAATTAGAGTGAAAATGTGTGTAAATCAATGTCCTTTCAATAAAACCTAGTCAGACGTCTATAATGAGGTTTAATTTCTAATGCTTCCTATGAGAGAACCTGTTGCCATTACATTCATGACCTGAGAGTAGCAGTGGTTCACCGCTTCAGCCTCAACTCCAACCTCCTTTTAGTAAATACCCTTGAAATGAAATGATCCCTTTAACTAGTTTACACTATGAACGTTTGAACCTTTGGCATAGATGAAAAATGTGCTCTGACACAACACTCCTCCCTTTGGCTCGTATAGAGGCTCATAATTGAAGTTTTTTTGATAAATGGTGTGAAATGCAAAAGTAATATAGAAAGAATAATGGGCTTAATTAGATCAGAGGCAACAGGGATGTCGAAACAGGGAGGGATTACTTTCAGTGAAATCTGTTCAAACAGATAAAATCCGGAGATCTGATGTGTTCCTCTTTTATTTGTGTTTAGTCCTCCGTGAAGGAGCGAACGTACCGACGACAGTGATTGTTTGTGGAACCCGATGCCTGACTCACTGGTTGAAGTAAGAGAGTTATTGAGGGCACGGAGCAGAAAAATATGAAACCATAAATAAATAGACAGATTGATAAGATAACAGGTAGAGACCTGCACAGTCCTCCTCCTCCACCTCCTCCTCCTCCTCCTCTACCTCCACCTCTGAAGGCCAGCATCGGCCACTGGAGCGTAGAAAATCCACATGACCCAATCTCATGGAGGCTGGAGCCCATCAGAGCATGAATGTTTGGTTTCGGTTGAGATTCTTGTTAAAACTTGATACGGTTCAGTGCGTTTCTTGATTCAGGACATACTGACAGTATAAAATTAAAACAATAAGGGATCATTCGAATGGGTCGATACGATTTAGGTTGCAGGTTAAATGATGTTGTCATCGAGAACTGGAAGCACAACTCCCAAACTAACCCCATGGCATTGACAGCGTCACAGACACATGCTGGTACTTGAACTGCGCTGAGATCATTTAATCATTAAGTTTTATTCGTTTCGGGGGAGGGGGTGTAATGATCACAGGAGAAATGATGAGGATACAACGAAGCACTCAAGGATTTTCTAAAAGCAAATCAATTAAAAATAATAAAGAAGAAAATAAAGACGATTTAAACAGAACGATTCATGTGAGCCCAAAGAAATATGTTAATGAGGTCTGCCTAAAAAAAAACTATCACTCAGTCATTCAGAAAGTTGTTTGTTTTGTCTTGATGTTTGCATGTGACCTTTTGGTTGAAACCCTTTGGTCTCCTCATGATATTTTGTTTCCAGTCTCCATCTTTTGTTTCATTGATTTAATTCATTTTTTGATTGTTGTTTATGAGCTGGTCATAAAGGAAACATAAGAGAAACAACAATGTCGGTGATTAGACTTCATTTATGAACGTTGGCATGTTGTTGCCTGTGGTCACATGACTCAAGAACATTTTGGAACAATGGAAATTTAGTGAAATGTTGTCTCCTGTAATTACCTTTTGTGGCCACAGGGGTCACTGTCCTGCAAACGTGATATTAGCTTTGCTTGAACAGGATACTTGAGTTTGTACATTTAGGTCTACACGTAGTACACTTTGTTCATAACATACTCATTGGCGTAGGGCGACGGAAACGCCTAATTTCAAATAAAACATGGCCGACATGACGGTAACCACATTTGACCACGTCGAACATGAAACTATCTACGTCTGTTTTGCTCACTTTTACGTAACATGAAAACCACGATGCCATTTGTTCCTGTGTGTCCACTCCTTTGCTGCGGTTTTCACAAGTTTAAAACAAAAACTATATCTATCCATTATATATAGACAAGATGGTAACTATTGAGTGTGTGTGTGTGTGGTAATACTGGAATTTGGGCGGAGCGATAGTCACATTGCTTTTTCTATGAGGAGTTTTTATCGCAGTATTGCACTTTGCCACTTGGACAAGAGGCTAATGAAGTGGCGACACGATGTCCGTCTTTATATACAGTCTATGGGACGTCCATTGGTGTATATTTTCTATCTCTTGGTCTTGCTATGCTGTGGCTGTTGCTCTTTTGATTCACATGTGCAGCAACAAGTGCAAACAAGTTCTTCTTCTGAACTCTAATGAGGCGTTTTGGGAAATGTATCAAACCACTAAGTCAAGTACGGCTGTAGGCGAAATAAGGTGTAGCAAGGACACCGGACAAATTCTGATCATTACACCGTGCATGTGCACACAATCCTGCATCAAACAACACATGCTAGTTCTGCCCTATTGCAGGAGTCCGGTTAGATTAAGGAGGCTAATTAGATCGCTTCACTGTTCACCCCCACAAACATGATGCAGCTCCACAGAAACACAAACCACATTCGTCTTTGAAATTAGCCAATTTAGAGCAGCAGAAGTAGCTGAGCCACATAACCTCACAGGACTGTGGGCTTCTCTTTATTCATTTAAAGACACCCTCGTGGCCTATTATGCCGGAGATGTATCTCATTAGAGCAGGTTTTTGGAAGGCAGAAAGAGGAGCAGCAACACGTTTGCCATGTAAGGGGGACGACGTGAATGTTCAGCTTCAATGAGCCCAAAGCCGCGCCAGTGAGGAAACGCTTGTTAGGGCCTTGAGGCTAAGAAACACGCTGGCAACACCTGAATGTGCATCGCAATAAATCCCACGCAAGTGTTGGCCCGCTTCCGTGAGCAAATACATTTAACACCAATGATAGAAATACTGCAGCCATCAAATCAGGTGGAAATGTCTGAGAGAAGAGTTACAAGCAGCCGGTCTGACGTATCTGGGGAGGAAGTTTTCTGCGGTGGTGATTCCACATCATGCACAAGAGCCCGAGAGTGGTTGACTGTCTCACAACCACTTGGCAAACCCACACTGGTTTGAACTGTACGTCCCCAAAATAAATCTTACATAATGGAAGAGGATGGGAGCTGTGACCCTGTCCTCCCCTCTAGCAGGCCCTGTGCCGGCCCATCTGCCGGATAATGTGCAGCGACAGTGGCACTCAGACTCATTAAGACCCATTGTGGTTTTTCCTAGATGCAAAGTTTGTATTTCACATCTTCACAGCATGTGTTGATGAATACTATGAATAATTTTTTAGATCTTGAATTTGAACTTGACTATATTTAGAGTGTGTCCCTTTCCTTCTTGCAATGGCGTCAAAGTCATTCGAGGATTTACGATTTTTGATGATGACTGATCACGCAGCAGGTCTCTGTGTTAATCCATTCTTTTTTGAAGCGTGACCTTACAGGCCCTGAAAGGTTTAGGCTATGAAATCAACTCTTCACCGATACGTCTGAAGGAACAGTTCTACATTTTTTGTAAACAATTGTGTTCTTGAGGACAGAGAGTGAAATGAGAAGATTCAATTAAAAGTGAACCACAATCTGAAGAGTCCTGCTTGGCGTGACGTTTGCTGTCACACTGGGCTAACAGGTTTGTAGATGAGCTTATAGTTACCTTGTGTGTAAAGTGTCTGCGCTCCGTGCTGCTCCCGACTGAGCCGTGAGCAAGTGTCTCATCAAGTGAAGGCAACTTCAAGCTCACAAATTACTCACTAATTTATTGGTTTTATAAAGTAATTCAGGGACGAGGACACTTTTATCATAAACTGGAACAAATCCTCTCTTGGTCGAGCCATGCACGGCTTGAAAAGGCAACAATTACTCACTTCGTAAAACTCAACATCCGCACAAACATATTGAGCAAGACCAGAGATTGAAACCAACATTTCCAGCAGCTTCTCTCAATGTTTTGTCAATATTTGATGCTTTATCAGTACAATTTGAACATTTCCTGTTCTGGCGGCTCACTTCTTCTTCTTCTTCTGAATGAGGTTTCAGCTTCACTGCTAGCTCGCTCACCATCAAACCTGCCTGTGTAGCATCGTCTCCACTGGAAACACAAACTCCACCAAAGTGGTTTAACTTCATTCAAGTGCATTTGACACTCGTCCAGTTTAGCTGCATTCTTCAGCTCTAATGACGCTCAAGTACAATTATTTTCTCTCTTGATCAAATGGAAAAATGAGTAATTTCCCAACGAGTTTTTCTCCTCACTGCTGCAAAATTAAACGAACACAATTTTGGGATGTGTTTTAAAGTAGATTTCATGTGCTCTGCTTTGTTCGGTGTCACATCGTCTGTTAACAGTGTGTTTTCCTGCAGGACTGTGTGTGTCTGTGTTTGTGAGTGTGTGTGAGTGTGTTTTAAGACGGCTTCAAATTTAATGATGTCTCTGTTTTCCTTCCCTCCCCCTTCCCGCTCTAGGCTGTAACGGAGCCATCGATGGGACCATGTCTTTGCATGAAGCTCGTCCTCCGCTCTGCTAACATCTGCCCTACCACCCTCCCACCTTCCCACCCACCCTCCTCTATTGCCCCATCTT